TTGTGCTCTGCCTTTCTGGTCCTGAGAAGATACAGCTGCTCTAGACCCTGGGCCTTCACAGGGCAAGCAAAGAGGGAGGAAGTGCTGGGCCTCTTCCTTTTTCTCTTTATGGGAAGAAAAACCTTTCCCAGAAATCACTGGAATTCTGCTCCAGTCTCATTGACTTTACTTATTTTTGCTTAAACCAATCACTGTCAAAAAAACTGTAATGGACATGATTAGTTTGCAGATGAATCAACACATTCACCACAGAGAATTGGGGAGGGACCATTTTCCAGGAACACATGGGAGGATAACAACTAGAACGGTTTCAATGTTCCATCAGCAAGGAGATGTCAGGGAACAGATATTGTGTGGGCAATCACAGGCTCTTTAGGAAACTAATAAATATTTAAGGAAACAATTTCGAATTTTGATACCTCCTTCTTTCATTCACAAATAAACATCAGTCATTTCAGACTGTGCTTTTTCTACATTCCCTAGACCCTGTCAGTCCTCATTTTTTTTTTCTTTATTTGAGTTTCTTTAATGAAATGAATCATGGCTCATGATTCATTTGTACTATATAATCAGGATATCAATACTATACTAAGTGAAACCTGTGTAGCTCTACCTCCCTTGAACCCTTCCTCATAATGATACATAGACTAAGGAAGTTTACTTGGTAGATTGGCACTATCAATCAATCAATCAATCAATTTAAATACCTACTTTTGTAAACAAAAGGCTGTATTTCTAGGTTGTAACGCAACAATATGTATAGGCTTTTAAATGTGTTGGTTGTCCTCTACATCAAAGAATATTAAAACTATTCCATTCTTTACCAAAATTTCTGAATATAATTAAGCCTAAGATTCAAATACTATATTATAATTCACAGTTTATAGGGCCAGAGAAAATAACTGTTTCCATCTGCTTTGCTACAGTGAACATAGTGCCAGAAAATATCAGTGTCAAATGAAACTATTTCATTGAAAAATGAGTTGCTATTCATGACCCCCCCAAATAATTTGTTTATAAATTTCAGTATTATTTTCATGACTTTCATTTAGAGAAAACCAAAGTTTCCTTAAATTTCCTCCCAGATACTTATTTGGAGAATTTGTACCAGGCCAAATTCTAGTATATAGGCTTTCCTGCCAGGTTTTCTCTAAGATTTGGAGCACCATTAAAAAAATAGAGATAGAAATACTCCTCCAAAGAAAATTATATAGGTTAACTGTAAAGTCTCATGTATCAAGACATCTTTGGGAAAAAAGGGAAAATAAAAATAGAAAAGAAAATATATGAAGGAATGAGCCTTTCTTGGCTCTTTTTTCTCAAATATATTAATTTTATATAGCTCAGGTGATATAATCATTCCATGAAAGATTCATTTTGAATTTAGAATGAATCACGTATTTATTTTTTAAAATTTGCATTTCAAGAGATTTATAATTTAGAGCTTCTGATTAGAATAAGATTGGAAGTCAGAGAAAGAGCTGCCAGTCTTCCAAATCTCCTTAGTAACCATAGCTCCTGATGGAGTGCAATTATTAATCCCTTAAGTAAGGGTTTCTCAACCTAGGCACTGTCATTTGGACTAGGATACATTGTTTGTTATGGGGTGTTATGGGGGCCTCCATGTTCATTGCAAAATATTTAGCAGTACCCCAGGACTCTTTCACTAGATGCCAGAAGTGCCACCCCTGCCCTAGTTGTGACAGACAAAAACATCTTCAAATCTTCAGACATGGCCAAATGTCCCTGTGAGGCAAAATCAAAATTTCCTCCTCCCTCACCTCTCATCCTGTTAAGAATGACTAACCTAAATCGAAAGAGCAGGATTTTCTGTGATGCAGTATGTTATGATATTATTATGATTTTTTTCCTCTGAAACCTACATTCATCTTTTAGTTAACCTACAGTCATAGTCACTACCAGTTATTACAGTTAATTAATTAAAAAATAACAAGTTCAAAGTTGTTTCCAGCTATTACATGCCATTTTTTTATGGAATAGCTTCCAGCAAAGATATAACAATTACTTTAAAAATCTATTTCCTTTATAAACAAAACAGCCACAGCATTAATCTCTCCTGTTCATATTGAAAATGGAAAAGATTAGGCAATCAAAATAATTAATTGAATCTAAAGGCACAAGAAATTGTACAAGGAAGGGTGTTAAATCCAAAACCTAAATTTACCATGCAATACTTTCACCCAAGAATTTGAACAGTTTCACAGAAAAAAAAAGTTAATCTAACATTTTTAAATTCACATAATATATTTCCTCATGGATATTACAGTTAACATAATATAAGCAATAAATCTGAAGGAAATATACACTACACATCACGATGGGACAATAATTCACATATTCGATTTTCTTCTTCTGTGAGCCTAGCTCACAGCAACCTCAAACTCCTGGGCTCAAACAATCTTTCTGCCTCAGCCTCCCGAGTAGCTGGGACTACAGGCATGCACCACCATGCCTGGCTAATTTTTTTTGTATGTATATTTTAATTGTCCAGCTAATTTCTTTCTATTTTTAGTAGAGACGGGGGTCTCGCTCTTGCTCAGGCTGGTTTCAAGCTCCTGAGCTCCAACTATCCACCCACCTTGGCCTCCCAGAGTGCTAGGATTACAGGCGTGAGCCACCGCACCCGGCCAGTTTTGTAGTTCTTGAGGTGTTATAAATAGCATGACCTATTGGGAAGAGTTTCTTTTCTCTCAGCAAATTATACTGATAAACTTAGAGAGATTGGCTAGCTGTTTCAGACTATTTTATGCATCAGATATAGGGAAGCCACAGCTGCAAGATCAATAGATGAAAACAGGGAAGAGGAAGCCAAAGTGTCTGAGGGAGACTCTCTGAGGCAACAGTGAGGTGAAGAAGAAACTGAAAACCATCTACTGAAAAAAACTGTAAGAGATTCCTAGACAAAGGGAGGTAGGCAATTGGGCCAGAAATGGGAAATATCAAGATGTAAGTTATACAGGGGAATGTTTCTCAAATTTAATGTACTTAAGAATCATCTAAGGATTGTGTGAGATGCAGATTCTGATTCATAGAGTTGGGGGCAGAGCCTGAGAGTCTGCATTTCTAGTAATCGCTCAGATGTTAATGTTACCGGTTGGTCCATGTGCCACATGTCATGTAGCAAGGTGCTAGAACACCCCACCTCTGTTCCCAGTATATCTCTGGAAGTAGAAGTGTGAACTCTCATCACAAAAATCTATGAGATTAACAATGGGGGAATGCATTTCCCCCAGTTCTCAACACACAGAAAATGTTATCTTTATACCTTTCTTTTTTTTTCATTTTTTAAAATTTAAATTTAAATTTTTTTTTTTTATTTCAGAGGACTATGGAGGTACAAACACTTTGCTTATATATATTTCCTTTCCACCACCCAAGTCAGAGCTACAAGTGTACCTATCCCCAGAAAGTGCACACCACACCCAATATGTGTGAATTTATCCATCCCCTCCTTTCCCCACTTGCCCGACACCCGATAAATGTTACTTCCATATGTGCACATAAGTGTTGATCAATTAATTGATCTTTATACCTTCTTTAAAGGAAAACATTGGATAGACTGTTGCTTTGATAAACAAGTTAATTTCCTATCATTGTTTTAAACAAATACACATACATATAAGTATATATTAGTAAAATGTCACTAGGGTTTTTGCTTTTTCTTATATCCTTAACCAGCAAGTTTCTATAATACAATATCGGATGGCATAATGAAAAACTAAAATTTCTAAAGTCAAGATAAAAGTTAGGTTTGACTTTTGGATGATAGTTTTAAATGAGTTTTCCAGCCCAATCTTGAGTTTCAATTCACTCTTTATGACAACCCAGGCTGTGCTTTTATCCTAATCATTTGATTCCTTTTACATCTATGGGAAAACCAAATCCTGGCTTACTTCATACTCTCCCTCCAAAGCAACTAACGGAGTCCTGATTATAGGTTTTGGCATTTTGTCAATGTCAAGGTGTGCCAGGAAGAGAAGCAGATAGAAAGATGACAGATAGATGAAGTATCTCTGATGGAAAACATCCCTTGGCGAAGAAGCTGGCAGTACAATACAAATTAGTTTGTCTAAGCACTAAAATCTAAAGACTGAACACCAATTCTAAGTGGAAGTAATTATAATCGCTTGCAAAAACGACTATCACAGAAAGAAAGGAATACATAAATTTGTCCTATGACAAATATTCAAAATGGTACTTTACATTTTCATAAGCTATACTTGGAAACAAAGTTATGTTCAGGCATTTATTACACAATTGTGTAGGAATCAGAGTTTTACAAATGTAGTATCCTCCATTTTCTGAAAAAATAAAAGGAAAATATTTTCACACGAAGCCTCCTTATAAATATTCAGAGAACAAAAATGCCACACACCCCAGTAATACGTGTCTGGCTTGATAAAATACCAAAGCTATGCAAAAAGTAAAAAGCGTAAAGGCAGCATCAGGTCTTTTTCTCAATAAAATACCCTGTTTTAAACTGATTTAGGTAAGTTATAGACATTTTAAACAAAAATTAAGGCAGCATAGGTTTATACTGCTGACAAATTTTAACCTACTTGGAATAGTCCCCAAGGTTAATGTCAAGACTACAACTTTGGAGACTGCCATCTCCAAATACACAATTTCTACCTGATATGAAATTTAGAATGTCTTATCAATTCACTATCCTGATTACATCACATAAAATGTTAGATGACCACACTTAGATCATTGACATGATGCTAATAATGATTAAATTATTTCATTCAAACAATTGATAAATTCAGAAGAGAAAAAAACAGTCTTCAAAACTTTTAATAGTTCCACTGAACACAAATACTAAGTTGTGCTAGTCCATGCCTTGAATATGCTTATAAACATAATTTGTCACCAGAAGTACAGTAGTTAACTTTAGAGAACACATAATAATTCAGTCTGCTTCCCAAGAGAGGTAATGGAGAGAATCTTGCTCCCTTTCCATGGTTTATTGAACTTACCCCATGTGATGGATAAGAGATCCAGCCCAGCTCCCCTTGAATTGTTTTTGAATCCAGTAGATTGACTAAAAAGAAACACAAATACACATACAAAGTTAATAATAATGAATTATTTCTATTTGCTCCTGTGAAGTTAATGTTGTCTGTTATTGTTGATATTGCTCAAAAAACATGACTGCAATTTTTATTTTAACTGTATAATAAGTATTAAAGAAGGGAATTATAAAAACACAGGAAAAGTTAAGATATCAAAAGTTTCTGTGGCCTTTTAAACTTTGTGTTTGTTTACAAGGATAAGTTAATATTCAATATATTGATAATTTCTGACAGAATAATTACAGATTTAAAGAGAAAACAAAAAATGTAAAACAAGAAACAATATTAATGCTAACAGATATCAAAATAACTATAAAGACTGTTAAATCTGATAAACTTACGTATGATTCCACAATGAATTAATTTCTTATATATGCTCCCATAATGAATAAACATCTGTGCATATTTGATATGGCATCTTCATATTGTCCCTAGCTAATACCAAATATGTTATTCGGCTTTGTGTATTTTTAATAATGTATAAATTATCTACTTATGTGTAACAAGCAAAATGCTTAACTACCAATTTGGGGAGATACCAAAGTAAAAATATGTCTTATATTAAAATAGTATTTCCTGTGTAAATCTTTACTTATTTAAAGAAGATATTGTTACTCAAAATATTTAGTTATTTTATTCAAAACTTTGTGCTAGCTATTGACAAGGCTGACTCATAATCACTATTTATGGATGAAAAATAAAACATAACATGCATTTGGTTGTCTTTTGAATATATTATTAAAATATAAAGACAAATTATTTATTTTCAATACAAAGTATTAATTTATAATGGATTAGAAATTAAAATGTAAAAAGGCACTTCAAATATAATTAATATTAATAACAAAAGGCTCACTTTGATTGTCAATCTGAACTGCTGAATAAGAGAAACTATGGTTTCACCTTATCCTTCTTCTATATTGGAAAACAATCTCATGATTGACTAATGGAAGATATAAAGCAAGGTTACATAAACTAAATATGTATTATTAACATGAACCAGAGTAGGTAAATCAATAAACACAATGAGAGAATTATTTCCAGGGGTTCTATATGCACACAAATCAAACCATAATGTAAATACATACACTGTACAACATGTTCACGTGTCAATAAAGTGTTTCCTTATACTTGTGAAGTACCACGCTTTCTTTTATATTTTCAACTAGTTTTTTTTTTTTTTACAAAGGAAACATTAATCTCATAAAGTGTTAAGAAAAAGAAATAATATATTTGATAGACATTGGAGTCCTAAATTTTTTTTTTTTTTTTTTTTTGAGACAGAGTCTCACTGTGTTGCCCGGGCTAGAGTGCCGTGGCGTCAGCCTAGCTCACAGCAACCTCACACTCCTGGGCTCAAGCGATCCTCCTGCCTCAGCCTCCCGAGTAGCTGGGACTACAGGCATGCGCCACCATGCCTGGCTAATTTTTTCTGTATATTTTTAGTTGTTCAATTAATTTCTTTCTAATTTTAGTAGAGATGGGGTCTCGCTCTTGCTCAGGCTGGTTTCGAACTCCTGAGCTCAAACAATCCGCCCGCCTCGGCCTCCCAGAGAGCTAGGATTACAGGCATAAGCCACCGCGCCCGGCCTGGAGTCCTAAATTTTTAAGCACTAAAAACATTTTAAGAAAAGTTATTTGGTTACCTAGTTAGATGATAAACACATTAGGTAGGTATAAGAAAGTCTCTTGATCATTACAATTTAAAAGAGAAACAATTCTCAAAGCTAGATTGTTTAACTTTTGCTAGTGAAAGAAAAACACATAAACTTAACCTATTACATTAGAATTCTGTAATGATTAAAGATTTTTTCTCACAATAAATTAGTCCCAATGAGAAGTAATTATATTTAGATATAAGAAGAAGATACTCCTGCAAGGATTACATAGCAAAATTTCCATAATTGAATTATTTCCCAGGATATGTGGAAATGAACAGTATGTTTAATTATATTGTAATTGTCTCTCAAAAATGATAAAAAAAATCTTTACCAATTAATCGATGTTACAGATTATATTTTGTCTCAGTGTTAGAAAATTTTTGAATATATGAGAATACTCCTTCACCTTTAAAGTATATTGCCAATATTCATTCTGATAAAGACATATCTAGTTCAACTTGTTGGTTATATCACAGTAATATTTGATTTCTCTGCGTTTTAATAGGATTTGCATACTAGAATTTACCTTGACAGTTTTCATAAGTAATTAGGTCATGTTCACAATGTCCTTTGGGCTCTAAATGGCTCAATGTATCATAATGTATGAGTAATAATTATATATGTACTAAATTATGGCTATGTGTTACCCCACCTGCTAAGATGAATAGTTGATTTAATTTCAGTATTAGTAACCAGAGAAAAAAGTATCTGAGGCAAAAATGATATGGTTAATACATTGTTTCCACTTGGTAAATAATTCATTTGAATTTATTAATAAGCTGTTATCTAAACATCTAAATATCCTTAACTTTTTTCTGATGATAATGATGGGAAAAGGACTAGACTAATCCCATCAGCATTTGGTTTCTACTCAAAGGAGGACAGCAAAGCCAAAAAGAATTATATAATAGAGTCGAGTGAAATAAGTGTAATAGATTAATTAAATTTATTGCATTTACTTAGAAATTGAATTTTTAACGTACTTAATTTAACATAAGGAGAAAAACACAATTAGCAACATTACTCCTGATTCTGATTCTGTTATCTATCAAACATCATTATATCTGCCCGGTTATTTCATAATGTTGCTGTGATTATCAAATAATATAAATGTATTTAAAATCACCATGAGTAATTATACGAACTCAGTGTTCTTATACAATTAATATATTATTCAACAACAGTTCCATGATGGCTTCTGAATTGTACTTATAATCAACTTCAATATGTGACCTAGTAGAAAAGAATAGTTCACATCAAAACACTTTTTAAAAGCACTTATTTGAGGTTTATAAGGTACCTTCTGTTTGTAGCCAAATAAGAATTAACACAATATAAGAATTCTAAACATTTTAAAATGAATAGTTGCTAAATTGAAACTTCCCAGAACACAAAATTCAAGTCTCCCGTGATCTATTGTATGGCAGCCTTAGTATAGCATAATTGAGATAAGAAGAGAAAGTCAACAGATTTTTAAAGTTAATCCATGAGTGATTTCTCTGGATACATTGACTAAATCTAACATGCAACACATCCTAAACCCCACACTCATATGGACAAGAGCCTTGCTTACTGACATTTTTCCCTCTCAAAACACTGTAGACCTCATCATTTCCTCTCAAATGCCGGGGCAGATCAGATAGGCAGATGAAGCATGATGTACAAATATCATAATATTGCAGTCTAAGCTTTAATGACAACTTCCAATTTGGTGTGACACAGAAAAAACATTATTTCAATAATTTCAGAATATTTTCAATTCAAAGAGTTATATGGCATCTATTAGCTTTTCAAATGAAAGTTATTTAAATTGGAAATGTTTTTAAATGTTGTGATTCTATTTAAGTTGATGTGTAAATGGGTGGGGTTTTCTAGGGCAAAATTATATTTGGAAATTACTGTTCTAAGTCTAGATGGATATGGTTATTGGTTTCTTTCACATGCTTTACTGTCTTGAGTCTTACTACTTTTAAATAGAGATGTATGTGTAGGATAATGGGCTTATGTTCATGAGAAGAGGAAGGCAATCCTTACTTGGTCCCTTTATTTTTTTTTTTTTTATTTTTATGCCTATGTAGTTTCCTTTATTTATTTAATTATTTATTTTTTATTTTAGCATATTACAGGGCTACAAATGTTTAGGTTACATATATTGAATTTGCCCCACTCAAGTCAGAGCTTCAAGGGTCTCCATCCCCCAGACAGTGCACACTGCACCCATTAGGTGAATATATCCAACCCCTCCTCTTCCCTCCCACCTGCCCAACACCCAATGAATGTTACTACTATATGTGCACATAAGCATTGCTCAATTAATATCAACTTGATGGTGAGCACAAGTGGTGCTTGTTTTTCCATTCTTGTGATACTTCACTTAGTAGAATGGGCTCCAGCGCTAACCAGGATAATATAAGAAGTGCTAGATCACCATTGGTTTTTGTGGCTGAGAACTCCATGGTATACATATACCATTTTATTAATCGACTCATGTATTGATAGGCACTTGGGTTGTTTCAGCATCTTTGCAATTGTAAATTGTGCTACAATAAACATTCGAGTACAGATGTCTTTTTTATAGAATGTCTTTTTTTCCTTTGGGTAGATGCCCAGTAATGATATTGCTGGATCAAACGATATTTCTACTTGTAGCTCTTTGAGGTATCTCCATAGTGTTTTCCACAGAGGTTGTACTGGTTTGCAGTCCCACCAGCAGTGTATTACTGTTCCTATCTCTCTGTATCCATGCCAACATTTATTGTTTTGGAACTTTTAGACAAAGGCCATTCTCACTGAGTTAAGTGATATCTCATTGTGGTTTTGAATTGTATTTCCCTGATGATTAGAAATGTTGAGCATTTTTTCATAAGTTTGTTGACCATTAGTCTACCTTCTTTTAAAAAGTTTCTGTTCATATCCTTTGTCCACTTTTTAATCGGGTTGTTTGATTTTTTCTTGCTGATTTTTTTGAGTTCTATATAGATTCTAGTTATCAGCCCATATTGAATGTGTAGCATGTGCATATTTTCTCTTAATCTGTAGGTTGTCTGTTTGCTCTCATGATAGTTTTCCTGGCTGTGCAGAAGCTTTTTAATTTGATCGGGTCCCATTTATTTATTTTTGCTGTTGCTGTGATT